TTTAACCGAGATACACTGATTGCTCTCCTAAAAGGGACACCATGCAAAATTGTCTTGGATTTCTAATAATTTTTTTATTAGACATTTAATGTAATTTATATGTAGTATAAATTTAGATATTCTACAATCAATTCCTCAAAACACTAACCAGAAGTTATGTTCCACCTTTACTGAAACATTAACCTGAACTAGTACTAAGAATGTTGGTGGCTCTCTTACAACTCTCTATACAAATCAGATGCTACTAATCCAAAATGACAGAACAAACCCTAAGTCTTAACAAGTAATTATCAACAACATTTCATTCTATGCAAACAAGGAAAATTTCAAAGAGAGAAAATTATTCAAAAAAAATTTGTCATTCAAGACCAACAGATATTCGACAATTTTTGTACATGCACATCAGCTCTTTCACTTAGATGCTAATGTTAATTTAGCTTAAATGCTAACACAAACAAAAGCGCTTTCACTTTGATGCTAAGCAAAGTAACGAATGCATAGCAGTGTGCTTTGAAACCTAAACAATGTTGGTAATTTACTATCTCACTTAACCTATTAACACCCACTGTCAATATTCGACAACATTCAGTTTCAATTTTTTTATTAGTCTATGTTACTAATTTTAAAGTTGTTATTAAATACATATATTTCTCATAGTAATTTGTGTGTGGACTGTAACAGAAATAAAATCCAGTTAATAATTTGATGGCACCAAAACTTAAAAACACCTTGAAATATGCTTAATCATAAAAATATAGTCTTTAACAAATTGTTCTTTATTACATGCAGAAGGAATATATTTTTCAAGAAAATACCGTATTTGCTCTTGTATAGGCCGCCCTAACAATCTTGACACAATGGGTAGTATGAATAAAAGTAAGCAATTACTCTTTTCTCTGAGTTTTGGAGATCCTTCTCAGTTTCGTATGAATAAAGTGGGTGAGCAATTGCTCAGTCTCTGAGCACTAGCTCCGTCTCTGAGCATACTCTCAACTGGCGAGCAAATGCTCAGAATTGATGTGAATAAAGTTAAGCATTTACTTCCTAGATGGAGCAGTTGCTCCAAAATTTGGGAGGGACCTTTGAAGCAGACTCACGTTTGAAAAGTAAGGTTAAATTGGCTGATTTTTTACCGTGTTGATATGCAGATATAAAAAAAATTACAAAATGAGGTGAAATTCTCCTGATGTGGACTATTAGAATCTTTACAAATTCAAAAAGGACAATGTACGGTTGATACAATCTTTATCAGCGTTTGCTTTCACACGCGTTTTCATATTGCTTATCTTCCATGTTAATTGGGCATCGCTCTTTTCTACTCAGAATTTTTCAAGGTATCGTTTTTCCAATGGAGCAGCTGGGAGGAAGTTCAGCATGGTTGAGAAGAATGTGAGGTGGTGGATTCAGACAAAACCACTTTGGAAAATATCAATTCCAATAAATGTGCATTTCAAGACAAGAAAAGTAAATATCCTGCAGTTGAAGAATTGTTGGTATATGTCCCGGGAAACCCGGTGAAACGGTTTTGCCGTTTTTCAGGATATGTTGTAGTTTGAGCGCAGCAAAATCCCCAGTAAACTTAGTATCCCCTGTACCAAATTTCAAGCGAGCAACAGTAGGAGAGAAATGTATCCCCTCAAGGACTATGGGAGAGGAGAAGCAACAGAGCACCATTGAGCTGGTAATAACAGTAGACGGGCGCAAGTTACCACTAAACATGTTTTTCAGAAAGAAAACTATGCCTAAGAAGAAATTTCTTTCCGGAAAAATAGTTGATGAAACGACAGTCTACGCTAGTTTTGGACAGTTTCTGGACTTACATGACTGAGAGGTTAAAAGTAAACTGAGGAGAAAAATAGGAATTTAGTAGTGATACCAGATAGCACGACTGGGATGCAGCAACCTTCAGGCATAGCTATTAACCAGTCATTCAAAGACATGGCTCCAACAAGCCTGAACAAGAGTGAGGATGTTGTATTATGGAACACTTCCAACGATTTTTAAAGTGTCAACGAATCGGCGATGTGACTGAATTCGGGAGTGATGAAAGTGATTAAATTTAACATATTTAATATGTACATTTGTAAAAAATAATTGCTATTTTCAGCATAAAATTTTGTTTTTTGTAGAATGATTTTTTTAAATGAAAAATCTCATATAAATCCTTGCCCCAATTTTATTAGTTACTTTTCAGAAAAAAAGTGTTTCTTATACATGAGCAAATACAGTAATAAACACATCTTAGTAAAAAGAGCTGGAAATAAAAATAGATTCAAAATAATTATAAACAGGGCTAGACAATACATTTTGTTGGCATCAAATAACGACAATGGGCAGATGCTACTACCACAGAATGAAATATACCATGCTCTTGAAGATGGTTACGCCTGGAAATGTGTTTCTGTTCACACAGTTGCAATGATTGCAACTGTTTAGACCCTGTTTGTCTTTGGGTTGCAGACTGAGAACATCGAAGTTTACTTTTATGGAAATAATATTCATGACTATGTAGATCAAGTGAGGGTATTTCTTATACATCTACATGAAATTTAAACTAATGTTTCTTAGTAAGGGTACCAAAATAGATACGAGACACATTAAAAGGACTCTAGAATAATCAGAAATTAGAGCGCTTCTTTAGAGAGAAAGAGTCGGATGTCAATGAAGCGGATGAGGTGGTCATTCAGCCGTAAAGTTGATGAGACAAGTGGCATGGAACATATTGACGAGGATGTGGGTCTCAATGATGATGGTCTTGTTGAAGTTGCTGGGATTTTGGAGCTTGATTGTAACCTTAAAACTGCAACTAATCCCAATAGTACAGCGATTGCAAAGCAATACAAAGATGAAAGCTGCTGAACAGCTAAGACAAGGAGTCTCACATCCAACCAAACTCAGTGGAAGAGAGTAGTGTCAGCTTACAGTAAATTCACAGATTAGGCACAAACGATTTGATTCAAAAATTGAAAAGTACCAAGCTCATTCATCCGCAGAATTATTGAAGAAATATGTGATAAACAAATTTTGACAATCATTACAAAAGAAACAGTGTGCTCTCTTAACATCGAATGAAAATGACAGGCAACAGGAATGCTTTAGGCAAATCACTTGCAGAAATGCCCCATTGAGCAAGTAAAAAAATTTTAAGGAAAAAGTTTGTTTCACTATCATTTCGATCAGACCCAGGCTTTCAATGATTTAAATCTAATAATACACACAAAAATCATATATTTATATCAAAAATATAATTGATTATAAATTTTGATTAAACAAACAATTAAACTTAAAACAAAGAATGATTAAAATTTTAAGATGATAAAGAAAAGAATTACTAATTAAAAGATGTAAAGTATTTATTTATTAATAAACAATGAACTATAATGGCTTTCATAAATTATTTGATTGTATATGAAGTCAATTATGCTGTGTTTCTGTTCTAAAGCAATTTTTGATTGGACAAATCCAAATGTGGAAAATATGTTCCATACTAACTGAAGATACTGATGCTATTGTTTTACAGTGTGATTTCCTTTACTGTAAATTTATTTTTTCCATGCCTTGCACACTTTTCCATCACTATGGATGAGAGTTCTTTCATAATCGTTACATCTAAGTGTTCCAGTAAAAGGTTTTCGCAATTCAAATTTCAAATTTTTGTTGAGTTCTACACAAACATTATCGTAGTTAGATTTTAAATATTCAAATACTTGATGTTGTTTTTTGTTCCTTAAAGGCATGTGTTAGAGAGAAAATTTCAGTCTTACTTCAAATATCTAAATATTTTACCTAACATGAATATTTAAATTTAGATTGGATTTAAATCAAAAAAAGTTCATTTAAATCAATAAAATCTGTTGTTGTTATGTTTCCAGGACTTTTATTAACCCTGACAAAACAATAAGATGTGTGGTGAGGTGGAATGACACCAGGTGCGTTGCTGTGGTATGTGAAACAAGAAAAGAAAAAAAAAGCTTGATAAATAAATTAGCTCCCCACCAAAATTGACACATGAAAACAACAGAAGTGGGCAGGGTAGATCTACACGACTGATAGGTTAGAAAATACCAAAGTAACCCCAGGGGTCAAACATAGTATTGACCCATCTTTGTAAGACTTTTAGACATGACTAGTAATTTGCTGGCAAATGCAAGGTTCAAAAAAAGGTTCTTGCTGCTGGAATACAGAAGACATCTTCCGATTGCACTACTGAAAGTTAGTCCTCAATCAACGGGTGCTCCAAATACCTCACATGCAGATCCTGATAACAGCCATGGCAGTATTAAACATTTAATTACAAAAAGGGAAAAAACGGCACAGGTGCTTAGCAGATAATTGCAAGAGGAGAAATGTTAAGTCGCAATGAACGTAGGTTTTATTTGTTTGGGTCTAAAATGAATTAACATATTTGATTATGAATTCTTTGTTCTCCTAACCTCAATGAATCAAGGAAAGGTTGTTTTATTTTTCTGGAAGAATAGTTTGAAATCCTATATCATACTGCAAATTCCTTGAAATGTTATTAAGGTACTCCTTGTCCAAAGTCGTCATAAGATGACAGGCTTTTCTGAACCAATAAAAGATTGCAGGGCTAAAATTACATTGAATTTTCATTTCTATGTAAGTAAAGGACTAAACCCTCAAATTTGACAACTTTTCTCAAAAAAAAAATATGTTGGGCGTTGACAGTTTAATAATACCTCAATTTGCCAAGAAAACTTGTGTTTATCATCATTCTAAAAAAGTCACTGAGCATGTATGACATGATTAATGGTTCATTAGCACTTCTGGGTAAATTTGTAACCAACACACTCCTCTATTAAAACAACAACTTGAAATAAAATCACAATCACATGAATCACTGAAATAGAGCTCTAACATTTAGATTGCTCAACTATTGCACAAACGTCTACAATTTCAATTAGGTATACCTTTAACCACTTTATCTCTCTTAAGACAAGTGTTTTGGTTTTGAAAAAGAGAAAAGATAGTGCACTGCTTACCTGATCTCGAATTGAAAAAGTTTGGCGACTATGAGACGAGTGACTTGAATGACCACTATGAGATGAACACGAACTACTTTCAGAATCAGAATCAGAGTCACTCCAACATGACTCGCTTTCAGATCCCTAAAACAAAATGTATCAAAGCATCCTTGAAATATAATCATCACTTTCAAAATCATAGAAAAAAAATCAAAAATAGAAAGTTGGTGTGTAGAGAAAATAAAATGTAAGAACATCAAATAATAAAATGTATAATATATAATAAAGAGGAAATATATCAATAAAAATATATCAATATGTAAATACCTCTGAATCACTTCCTGATTCATTTAGAGATCCAGAATCATCAGAATCCACATCCTCTGATTCTTGACTATCACTTTCACTATCAGTGTTACTAACTTCTGCGTCATCTTCATCCTCATCATCATCATCTTCATCATCATCGTCGTCGTCATCGTCATCTTCATCATCCACACTCTTCTCACCTTGTTTACTTCCATCCACCCTCCCTGACATCCATCCATCAACTTCCATGGAGGAAGATCCCTTCGATGTAGTCATAGGTGTGGATGGAGAACCCTGCAATTTTCATATTTTGCAATGAAACTAATTCTCTTCTACACCAGTGATAAAGCAAAACAAAATTAAATCAAAGTTATTCATATACCTATTTAGAAAATTTTAGAACATTTAGAAAACTATACAATTGTATAATATAAATATTCAGTCAATACTTTCTTGAACTGATTCATCTTCTGTTTCAGGTTTACCAACAGGTTTTAAACAGTATAATAGGTTTTACAAATAATTAATTTAAAGTTTAAATTTTGAATTTGAAAAATTTCATGAAGTACAACACAGACTTTTGTAGCCTATAAGAAAGAAATCAGAAAGAAAATTTCAACCAAATCACTGTTCACTAACTCAGTGCATATTCCAGTTGCAAGTAACAAAAAATGACCCACCATTCACCTGTAGTGTACAAATGAAAATTCTGGTTTTATGATGGAAAGCATATCTTTCCCATGGCTACAAAATGATTAAGTCCAAAGACATTCAATAAAATGGAAGTAAGGAAGAAGCCGCAAAAATTAGAACAGAAGTCATTTTTAAGAGGATATGACTCTCAAAAGGAACTGGAAAATCAGTGAAGAGTCAAAAGTGTTCAAAACTATTATTGTTGAAGGTAAAATGAATGATAGTAGTAGCTGTCCCCCTGAAATCAATAACAAAACAAAAATCTGAGCATTACAAATACAATCTAATGTGAAACAAACATTGCAAAAAAACAACTGCACTAAATTAAAAAGTATATTTTAAACATTACCCATAATTTGTTTTCCAAAAAAGTACAAAAGTTATGCAAGACCTTTACTAGACTATGGAAAAGGCAAAATAATACTTTGTTACAGGCATAGACACTTGAAAGGAACAAACAGAAAAGCAACAAAAATTCTATAGTGTATATGCGAAAAAAACATCAACTACATTTGTTTTTCTGTCAAAATAAAGGCTCTTTTTCCTGCAACATTAGGAAATTTTCAGAGCATTTGAGTATGTAAAAACACTTGTTCAGTACCAGGAATCCAAAAAAATATTTATAAAATAGTTTACAAACATTGTTCGCATGATCAGACCACATCAGCAGCTTCATTCAATGGCTGCAGCGGTCAAGGCAATTTTGAGGGAGACATAACAAGATAAGTATGACGGCAGTGGTATCCTCAGGATAGTAACAAGCTTCATACTGAAATGAGTTCAAATATATGCCCCTAACATTCATCAAAAACCCAAAAAACCAGTCATTTGTAATGTTAGTCCGCGAAGTTAAACGTAGCGCGGCGGCGACGTCACCGCCTGATGTCGGCAACAGTCAAGCCGAGCGAAACCGACGCTGGACAGGAAAAAAAAAAAATATGAAGAGATTAATGTAAGAAACTGAAAATCGCCTAACGGGCGAAAGATAGGAGCAGCGTATTTCCGCCCCAGGCCGTCGAGGGAGCAGTGGCGCCGAGCCTGCACGCGCCTGACCGTGGTGCGAGGTTGCAGGCGCCCTCTGCCAACCGCCAACGCCTGACTCCTGCGCTCTTTCCGCCCCACTAGCAGACTTCCTTCTCCCCACTTCCATTGCAGAAACGGATGCACCCGTGCGTGAAAAGGCATCAAAGGTTAAATTGTATAATTGATTAACCAATAGCCAAAGTGAAACAACAATTAAAGAACGAATTTACTAAAATACTTAAGTGAAAGTGGTTCAAAGTCTGTTCAGATGTTAAATTGAGTAATTTATTTTAAATGTGCTTAGGATATTGATTTATTTCACAGCTCAAATGTTTTGAATGATTGAATTATCCACATTGTTGAGTGTGCATTGCAAGTCAATGGTAATCGTGAAAACCTCAAAGATCATAAAATAATAACACACTGAACTTAATTTCGCTTAAACTTTGGCAGAGGCAATATTGAAATTTGCACCAGCTGCTTGCCTAGGTGCAGAATTCAGAATTATTGCTTAAAGTTTTTTTTTGTCCTTTTTAATGAATATCCATAATTGTGGCAGTCAATCTAACACCAGTGATGAATGCAAGGTTCATGTTCAATGAACAAATTCTATGCAATAGAATCCAACATTTTATGTACTTTTAAATTGAAGAATATAAGGTTGTGTATCACGGACTCCCACTATTCAATTTCATTGTGGAAACTTGCCTGCATTCTCCCAAATTCATATTTCTAGACAGAACTTCCAGAAGAAAATTAAATTCAATGAACACAACATGTCTCAAAACAGATCGGCGGTGAACCGAACACCCACACTAACCACGCTGAGCAGAACTCATTTAGGGATAACGACATCTGGTCATAAGAGTTGTTACATGCATCTCATGATGCCGGATGCATCTCAAAATTTTGACGGCGTGTTCTTCTGCAATACTAGTTGCTATCTTAAGGATACCACTGCCTTACTAAGTATGAACTTGGCTATTTTTAATTTTTATTATCGCATTATTTTTACTTCTTATTGATTTTGTGTTCATTTTTAAGAATTTAATAAATAATTTTATTGGCAATTGGTTGTCATTTTATTTTATTTCCACTTTATGGGTTTTAACAGATAAATTAGGAACAATATGCAAGAACAGTTTAATATTTCATATAAAATTAACTGTTATGGACAAAGGGGCCATGGAATTATTTTTTCTTCTACAGGGTTACAGTCATAAAAAAAGATTGGGGACTTCTGATTTAATACAATGTAGAATATAACTTTATTGAGCGATTTAGTACCACTATTATCAATATTATTTCAGATAATTTTTCTTCATAAAGACTACCTCAAAAACACAAAATATTGAATTTCAGAAACATTAGTCCAGAGAAAGCTCTTTTTCTTTAAATTTGCTCTTATGCTTAAAATTGCAAAGTGCAATATGATGCTTTTGTTAAATTATTATACATTTTATTTAATTGGGGCCATTTTGAATACACCAAGTTAAATGTCTGAATATTCACTTTTAAAGACATCTTTATATTATGAAATAACTAAAAACGGATTGTTATAGTGAGTAATATTTGATCCCACCAGGAACACAAATTTCCATTTGATGATTACACAGTAATAACTTGCTCTCAATTATTGTACAAATCACATACTGAAAAACAACAAAAATGAATGACTTACACTGTGATTTTTCCAACTCTGCTCCTGGAAGATATCAGCTGTTGACAGCTTTATCTAATCGTGAGCTTGAACATCAGCAAAGTACATCATTATGGTGAAGTTCATGCTCCCAACTGGATAAAACCATCAACAGCTGATACATGCCAGGGGCAGAGTTGGAAAAATCTCAGTATAACAAGTAGGTACAGTGCACCAGATCTTTGAAGTTCAAGGTCATATATATCAAGTCATATATGACCTTCTCTAAGTTAAAAATGGGTATTCTAAACACAGATTTGACATGTACAAAATCATTTCTGAATATGAGTCCTAGTTCTTGATGACAGTCACTGGGGGAAAGATGAGAAGTTGAGAAAATCTTCCTCCGCACTAGCACTAGTAATTGGGGATGTAATGCAAAAGTGCAACCAGAATGTAATGTAGTGTCAGGGTAGTCCTTCGTCTTGGAACTAATTTTCCCAACTTGCCTGGTTCTTCAATGTATATTTATTTTTCGTGAATAAGGTTTTCTGAGTATTATGGATCATTTAAACAAAATTTTAACTAGAAGTACGTAGGTGGTCTGAAAAGTTCTCGGCCTCGCTGGTAGATCGCAGAACTAGTAGCATGATGTTTTTGCCTCATGTTAGTATTGCCTTCAGAAGGCTGTGCGTGAAATTGCACATCATTCCACCCGGTAGTTCGCTGTAGGCAGCCATTTGAGTCAGGCGCCGTGCGAGAATTCATGGAAATGGAGAAACTTGAGTATCGTGCAGTGATAAAGTTCTTCATAAAAGATGGTTTGTCGTCGACGGAAATTCATTCGAGGATTGTAAAAGTGTATGGTGACTCTTCCCCATCATTTTCCACTGTAAAGAAATGGGCGGCCGAATTTAAACGAGGTCGTGACAGCATCGAAGATGATCCACGTGAGGGACGTCCGAAAAGTGCAACGTCAGCAGAAATCATTGAAAAAGTGCATGATATGGTTTTGGAAGATCGACGTACAAAGGTGCGTGAAATAGCTGAGACAGTAGGGATTTCAAAGGAACGTGTCGGTTTCATTTTGCATGAAGAATTGCACATGAGAAAGCTTTGTGTAAGATGGGTGCCGCACCTGCTCACGCTAGACCAAAAGCGCATTCGCATGAAACTCTCCGAACAGTGTTTGGCACATTTGTCAAAAAACAAAAACGATTTTCTACGACGATATGTGACAATGGATGAAACGTGGATTCACCACAACACACCAGAATCAAAACAACAATCCAAGCAGTGGACAGAAGTCGGTTGTTCGGCGTCATAGAAGGCGAAGACGGTGCCATCGGCGGGAAAGGTCATGGCATCAGTGTTTTGGGATGCAAAAGGAATTCTTTTAATTGATTACCTTGAAAAGGGTAAAACAATAACTGGGGAATACTACTCCAACCTACTAATAAAATTAGACGCAAACATTTGTGAAAGGAGACCTCACTTGCAGAAGAAAAAAGTCATCTTTCATTAGGACAATGCACCTGCTCACAAAAGTGTTTTGGCGATGGGAAAACTGCGGGGTTTGCGTTATGAAGTGCTAGAACATCCACCCTATTCCCCAGATTTGGCTCTCTCGGACTTCCACCTCTTCTCAAAACTCAAAATGTTCCTTGCTGGTTAGCGTTTTTCATCCAATCGAGAAGCAATTGCAGCGGTAAATGGTTATTTTGCAGCACTTCCGGAAAATCACTACAGAGATGGCATAATAGTACTGGAACAACGCTGGATGAAATGCATCAGTATTAAGGGTGATTATGTTGAAAAATAAAAGGATTTTTAAAAACTTCAATTTGCATTTTCACTATCAGGCCGAGAACTTTTCAGAGCCCCCTCGTAATGCTTGTAACGAATATGCTAACTCACTGTCTTTCTGTGAAAAAACACAAAATTGACAACGCTTGCTTAACAAATCAAAAGTGTGCCAATGTAATGATGTACTAAGGTTTTTTAAGAAATAATATCTTGCTATAGAACTATCTTAAAAATGTCCCTGTCTTCCAGAGATTCTTTCACTAATTCCCAGGTGTATTAAAAATTAACCCATTTCAAAATAGATAAAAATGGTAGTCAAAGTTCTTTAATTCTAATTGTGAATTAACTTCGTAACCCGATAGAGTAATTTTCTTTGTAGAAGATATTCTCTCAAAATAAAATTAAAAACTGTAATGAATTTTTAAAAAATAAATGAAGGAATGGAAATGAAGAAAATTTGCTAACTTTGATGAAAACCTGGAATGCTGGTTTGCAAAGTTATATAGTCATAAACTAAAGAATCTAATGACTTGATGTTCAGACAATGATATAGTTAACAGGATTGCGTACTCAAACAAAAATCTTTATATTGTTTCTTTCATTCTGGAAAGGTTTTCATGTGAATGGTAAAATAAATAGAATACCAATGGAGGCTACCAAGGATAACACTCCATCTAAGATTTTAGAAATCAATATATTGAACGTGTGACATTAATATAATTGCATATTTATCATTAAAGTAACATGAGTACCTTCATTAATCGCACTAATGTTAATACTTTGTTATGAGTAAATATTTATTATGGTGGTATCAGCAAGACAACTCTGTAACAAGGGTTGCAATTTTTATATATTCTTTAATTTTGTTGTTCAATGGATTTATGTCTGCAAATGTTGAAATAAATAAATAAAAAATAATAATGAAATAGTTCATTGAGTGAAAACTTATTCTAGCAACATGTCAAAACACAATTCACTTGACGTAATTAATTTTTTTAAATTAGCATTTCTTCTTAATGTGAAACAACAAACTTTACAAAAAACCCGGAGGAAAACATGTTTAAAAATTATTAAATTTCAAAAATTTGAACACAATAAAAACACTGAATCATCTATTTCTGATATTTAAGTACAAAGATGAAATTTATTCCAGCAATTTCTGACGTTTTGAGTAAGAGGTACAGGTTTTAATTACAATGGGACACAGTAATGTTAAAGCACTCACCTTGATGGCATCCATATCCACAGTTGAAGGGAGGTCATCAGGTTCTGAGTCATCCTCAGCTGGGCGATGGATGACAGCATTCCATGCAGAACTTGTCAACAAGGGTAAGGCATCGCTGGGCACTGGTGCAAACTGCAATTGCAAATGTACGCTATATTAATACCTTAATTAATTTTTTTAGGAAATACAAATAGCATAGATCTTGTAGAAATTTGTATTAAGTCTGGGCAAACAAGTTTATTATCATATTATGTATGATGAGTTTAACTTGTTTACTGCAAAGAATTTCTAAGATAAAATCTGATAAGCTTTCTTCAAAACTGCAATCTACTACCGCTTGACTCTTTCTGCTTCTTCACAATGCACAATTTTATGAATTGATAGATGACCAGTGTGTAAGTAATGGTTGTATGAAGAAAATGAACACAACGAACTTTCTTTAGTGCTGGAATTATGGTGTTAACAATAACCTCACTACAACGCAAATATTTGTCTTGATACCAATAATTTTACAATTCCACCAGAAAGTAATGTTTCTCTTATATTCATTGATTTTGAAGTAAAATCTTGTCCAGAAAAGGTAAAAAGAATCTTAGTAATATATCATGATGCCCTTATGTAGATTTGTATGTTGAAAGAAAAAACAACCCAATGAAAAAGTCGGTATTTGCTTACTTTTATAAGAATCCTTGAGCTCTGAACATCAAATGGCACCCCACCACATTTATGTTCAACAAGTGAGAAAAGGAGAAAGAAAAAAGAAAGCTTGAATGCCCTTGGTAAGCGTGAATGACTAATGATATGGCATTAATCTTGAAACCACATAGGAGCAATTACTATTTCTATGCACATGCTGTAAGCAATTAAAACTATAAACACTAGCAATAAGTCACTCAATGAAATTAGTTGTCAGTAAAATGACTAGTCCAACAATAAACTGTTTATTGTGAGTTTTTCATCATAGACATTTGGAAAGTAATCAGATAAAGAAACAAATCTCTTGGCAGCATTTTATTGAACTTCAAGAAAACTTCATCATCATAGACAAGGTGTGCATTATTAAGAGAGAAAGGTTATCTTATAGAAAGATCCGTAATTCAAATAAAGAATCATATTTGACCTTAAAAGGAATTCTTGAAAATAATAAATAACTAAACATGAATGGCAGGTGAGGAGATTAAGAAGATACTGACACGATGATATGTCAATTGTTCAGTAAAATGCCTTGAAATATTTCATTGGATTTGTACAGGGTCATCTGAACAGGAGACAAGATAAATCACTTGAATCTGTCATGAAAATTCACACAAATACAGTGATGAAAAAGTTATCTTCCCAGAATGTGTTCTTACAATTTACAATATTGTTACTTTATCAACAGCAATAAATGGTGACATGTTAAAGGAAAGCAAACTTTTCCCAATATCTGGATCTTCGAACTATCTCCACAAAATTTTAAGAGATTATAATTATCAGGAAATCAATTTCATTTGGATTAACTTAAATAATTTAAAAACATCACTAGGAAGCACTTCATAACGCCAACTTGCCAATCACGAAAAAGATGACATAAAGAGTTACTGTCAAATTAGTGTAAATTTAAAGTACTACTACAAATTATTTTGAGTGTATCATTTTGAGTGGAAACCTTAATTACATGACATCATAATTGACCAACAACATTGTTTTGTTGATGGAATATTGCCAGGGTGTGTGGGAGACTGCAAGATTGTGGGTATGAGTGCCAGGCTTATCAAGATTTGCTGTTCAAGAACAGAATATTTGGTAGTTGGCAACTGCTAATGTGCTGGCAGTAAATGGTAAGACTCACATGTACATATGTAAATCAACTGTGCATATAATAAAGCCTTCTTGTCTGAGATTTGTGCAATCCACAATGCCACAATACCATTTGGCAGGTCGCAAGTATACAAGAAAAATATAATTGGTACCAATTCCAAGCCCTGGGGAATCCTTCTCTGTGATGACTAATATTATCTAATTCTCACATAAAAATGGTGATCTCAAAAGGAGGTCTGTTTAGGTTTCCCAAGATGAGAAAGTTTGTGAAGCAACCTGCAATATGGTACCTTATCAAATGCTTCGGAGAAGAGGTCCAAGTAGATGGTATTGGCTGGATTGCCATTATCTACGTCTCTTGTTCAATCTTGCATTGAAAATCAATTTGTTAATATGGATCTTTCTGGTACAGAGCCATATTGGAGGTGTGGGGTAGAGAAGCATCCAGTTCTCACAGCAAAGCCAAGAATTGCATCTGGCATAATTTGCTCAAGGAATGCATAGTGAGCTGGTCAAGCTGATGGGCTTATTAGGATCTAGTTTGCCATCTTTTTTAAAGAAGGGTGTAATGTTCACTGTTTTCCAGTCCATCAGCAACATTCCAGAGTCAAGGAATCCCAAAAGATGACAGAGCTGAGGAAAGTTCTTCTGCACGCAATGTCAGCCAGAGAAGCCATATTGAGCAGAATTCCATATATTGGGCAGGAAATAGGTGTCGACTTGTGGGAAGAAAAAGGATTTTACAGGATTCCACCCAACAGGTCAATCCATTGTTACCCTGAGAGGATTTTAGGCAATACAATGCTTTATTTGTTGAAATCATCAATAGTACCCTCCTTTTTATAAAAATTGCACAAATATTGATGTCTTCTGTAAGACGTGCAGTTGTATTATGAGATACCTGACCCCCCCCCGTTTATTTTTATTTAAACAGGCATGTTATAATGCCCACCCTTTTCTAAAAATGGTACAAATATTAATGGCTTATGACAGAGAGGTTTATGCACAAGGATATTTAGTTTTAAACATCTTGTGAGTCATCAAGTGCTGCTATTTTGATATTATGAGCTCCAATGTCAAAGCCCACTTTTTAAACCGCTCATCATTTTTCACCAATTGGATTTGGTGAAATTTGACAGATTTTTATCCCTCCCATTGCGGATTTTCACAGACCAGATCTGGCAACCCTGGTTTAAGCACAAGAGATGGCATTCCATCTGGACTAACAGAGAAGTTGGGATATCTGCAATCTGCAAGTCATCTCCCAAAGATTCCTCAGAAAGAGGTGAAGATATGAGCAGGAGAAGATTCTAATGAGTAGAATAATTGAAAGCTGTCTGCAGAAACATCAGCAATATCTTGTGGATCCAAAGCAATTTCCTTATTCTCCTTTCAGAGGGTGGGGCAGAAACTTATAAGATCTGTTCGCAGAAAAACGAATACATGGCTTAGCAATATTTTTATCCTAATTCTTCAAGTGGATTCTAATTTTACTTGTTATTGTGTAACGTAATTCTCTGCATTTCTTCTGTTGGGCCATCAACACATTTAATTTACTCCATAATCCATTTCTTTTTGCGTATCAATTGTTATATCCTTATGATAATCCATGTTTTTTTTATTTTTGTTCGGAACTTCTTTTTGGATAGATGAGTGAGAATTTGAAGCGTTGATTATTGATAATCTAAATGTCAGCCAGCTCTTTTTTATATGTTATTTTTATGTATATGTACATGTATATATGCATTCAAACATATACACTGAGTCACCTAACTTTAGCACCTCCTGTAATTTTTGAACGGTTCAAGTTATTGCAATGCAGTTTTTACAGGAATGCCTGAAGGAATACGGCTAATTGAACCACATTTCTATTTTACCATTTGTATTTTACAAGATATTGAGGTAACTTAGCTTTTTTTATGTATAACTATACATATTTCTTAAGCCAATCATGATGAGCGTAAAAATACAAATTCAATGTTATACGTGTTGTTATATGTTAGATAAGCATTATTTTGACTGTTGCATTCAAAATATTCGTTAGATACTAGTCGCACAAAAATCGAAATTACCCAAAAAAATACTTATCTAACATATAACAATATGTATATAATTGGATTCGTCTTTCCACACTCGTCATGACAGGCTTAAAAGATATGTGTAGTTTCATTTAAAAAAAAGCTAAGTTACCTCAATATCTTGTAAATACTCATAATAAAATGGAAACAAATATATGCACTAATTAGCCCCATTTCTTCATGCATTTCCATGACACCTGAATTGCAAAAATTTCAACAGTTAAAAATTACAGGAAGTGCTAAAGTTATGTGACTTACCTGTATATGAACACAGTTCGTCTCTAACTTTCGCCTGGATGTTACAATTACCTATGAAGGATTTTAAAATATAAAACTAATTGTGGTATGTGAATGTCTGTTAGATTTTTGTACGGCACAATAACTGTAATTTTACCAGATAATGGAGCCACAATGAGTTCTAAAACATTGTTAAACGGAGGGATGTACATGTTTAAAGTACAAGAATTGACCTTGTGAAATATTGTTGAGGTACATAAATAAAAAAACAATCTATAGAGACAGTCTTATATAATTTTTTTTTTAAGTTTCCTTATTCAATTCTGGAAAAAAAAGTTAATTTGCATTAACCCTCTAATGCCAAAGGTAATTTTGTGCACGTAGTGCTCGACCATTGTTGTCACATTTGTGTGCGCACAGTTCTCTGCAGCCCTCTGTCAGCATGTTTTTGCAAAATTTAGTGCTAACCAATTGTGTTGCTAAATATTTAGTACTATAAATTTTTGAAGAATCTTTTGTGGGGTCCTAATAAGTTGCTCCACGTGGGAAAAAAGTATCCCAGAATGCAGCTTTAATTTTCCCAACAACACTATAATAAATAAATGTTTGTTTCCAAAAAAAAACATGTTACACCCATGTGAAATACTGTACTTGGAAGATGAAATTATTAGCATTAGGTTTTATTTGAGGAAAAAATGTTTGTTTTAATTACACTGTTATTCAAAAGCAATGTGACAGAATATTAAATACTACAAGAAGAAAATGTACCCCAAAAGTGGAATATAGTACCAAGTAAGAGAAAACACAAAGAACGTCATATTAGATTGTTTATTATGATAAGCAACAATAAGATCAATTTGGAGACGGGAAAAAAATAGAATTTAAAATTATTGAGAAAATTGTAAATATTGTTACTTATATTATATATCAATCAATACAATAGTTGATCCTTTTTAATTGTGATAAACAAATTACAATCTATGTTAATTGTATAAAAATCTAAATTCCAGTTTCTTTCAAAATAATTATTATATTACACTAACTCGCTTTGTTTATATTGTGTGTGTGTGTGTGTGAAAGAAAATGATAATTACATGGAATGTGAGATATTTTGAAAATTGAGATTTACAGGTTTTGAATACAAACTGACTCAGCAAAGCAATTAGCATAATTATGAAAAATTTTATGTACACATTATACAACCTGATTAATAAATTACAATTTCAACAGAAAGTTTATTTCTATTTGTTACTAGTCACAAACTTTTCATATCTATCTTCGTTGATTACATGTGCACCATTAATTCAATAACACGGAATTCAAGGACTTCACTGCTCATAAAGCTTAGTGCACATTTTCAGCAATCTATTTGACATGGATCTGAAAAATATACATCCCAATTGTGTTGAGCACTAAATCATTTTGCAAGTTATTTTCCAACTGCCCATATCGCCTTCTTATTTGTTATCACCACAAAATTCCTATAACTCATAAACAAATAACTAGTTATAAAAATATTTTAGGACAGCTCCGAATAAAAGCAGTTACTTTTGGGTCATTGGTGTGGTGAAAGCTCAATTGTTAGCACTAGAGCGGAATGTCAAACAATGCTCAAATTTCCAGATAAAACCAACAACAATAAAGAAAACAAAATTATTTCATATAAATGATTTGTATACTTGAATTAAAATTATATGAAAGTCAGTAAGACTGTCTAAAAAATAGTGTATGACACACATGGTAAAAGTGATTTTATTTTGCTCCTAGGATTGTGCCACTTGTTCAAGTATTAGATACAGTAAATTATACATTACTATGAAAAAACTTCAAAAATAGCTTTTGCCGAATTGCTTATTCTTTGAAAGTTATGTAATTGGTCATAAACAAGAAGTAAAATTAAATAATGTAACTAATTGATAACAAGTTGTCACTAGTGGTGTTCTTCAGGGAACAATATTAGGAATGCTAATGACATATTTCTAACCTTGCTGAAAACAGATTTGATATTATTTGCTGATGACACTTTTGTCATAGTTAAAGTCAAGTCTTAGATTAAGTTTTTATGTATGTTTGTACAAAAACTACTGTAGCTTTAATATAACAGACTCATTTACTACATACTGGAGGTATTTGGACAGTATTCAGAATCAATGTACTCTAAAAAGACACCTGTAAGTACTTGCAACACTGAACAATAATTGTCCAGTGACAAAAATAGGTTTCTCTTCAGAAATATCTGGTCATTCGTATTGGTTGCAATTTGAAATGGTGACAACATATATCAAAACTGCTAATAATTTACAATATTTTATTTATAAATCTTATTACTCTGAAAACTTATACAGAGAATAACAACTTATACAATAAAATTAACATTAATTAACATTAGAAAACATTTTTTATTGAAGTCTATCCTGGATAAATGCTCCCCTTAGAAAACGTCTACACAAATTTGTAGTAAAATCATCATAACCTGACTGTAGAGTATATTGGTAGCAGAAAATTTGTTTACATAAGTTACAGATTTTAATTTACTTAAGACTTGAAATGCTTAAACAATAATATTTTAAACAAAAAAGTTATAAGAAACTGAATAATTAATTTAAATGAAAATGCTGTTAAAATCGTTATTAGCTAAACCTTCCAGAGTTGACTCTTCAATACTTCATTTTCTTTTATGATCTTTTAAATATTTGTAAATGTTTTCTTTCGTATTATTATTCCATTATTAATGTATTACAATTTGCGATGATTTTCGTTTGTTATTTTTTAATATATATATATATATATATATATATATATATATATATATATATTATTTATCATATTTCTGATAATGTACATTTATGACATATATTTATCTGATGTAATAATATTAAAGGATATATCCTGTTAATGAAATTATTATTATTATTAATATTAATATTATTATAATTATTATTATTACTATTATTGACATCAATAACAAAATTATAAGTGCAATTAAAGCAATGATCTGACTTTTATTTCTAATCTCATTCCTGAATGTGATATTCACTGATATTTTGATCATATTAATTTTAAGTAGTAGGTGCCAATGTTTAATAGTATTTCATAGTAAATCATTAATCTAAAAGACACTGTTATTTGTATTTTCATATTTTGTATTTCTCTGATTTTTGTGTTGGATAACTTTTGTTCTGTATGTTTTCATTTAGTTTTCCACATGACCCTTATTTTATGTATTAAACTTTGAATCTTGATATTGTGAATTTCTTTGTATTTTTACTTTGTATATTATATTGTTAAGTGTGTGTATTTCTCTGATTTGTGTCTAATAAATTTTGTTCTACATGTTTTTGCATAGTGTTTTATTGGTCTCTTATTTCATGTATTATACTTTGTATACTTCAAACCTGCTGTTTTCTAAAGGGATTGCTCCTGTATAAATAAATAAATAAATAAATTACTTCATTATTTACACATTACATTTTGCCATGATTTATTATTCGCAATCAGCACTTTTGCGCACAGGAATAGCCTCAGCAATGTGCAAAACTGCATTTGTGCATATTTTTTACCCCCTTGTATTTGTATATTACAACCTGAATAACAATAATAATAACAACAATAATAATTTTAAAAAATCTTACAAAGAATATGCACATGTGGGCACTTCAGGTAATAATAACATAAATGACTCCCCTACACGCTCGAAACACAACTTCATGGACAACTGAAGCAAAATTGTTAAAAGCTATTGTTAGTAACTCAGCCTTGAAGTTTAAATAAATAAATTTGTGAAATCTGACTTTTACAAAAAGCATTTCCTGATGTGGCTATCTTGTGACATTCCTAGCAAATTAATAAGTTTTCTTGTTTTGATCGATTTTTAATAATTTGTTGTACCTAGTGTCTCTACACAACATTAAACATTATTACATAAATTTTGTAGTTCAAATATTATTTTGTTCCTTAAGTGATCATTTGTAGCATCTCTTAAATTACAAGCAGCTTTAATCTGTATAATGCTTTGAATTATCATCTTGCTTCCGTAACCTCTAAACTCACCTTCTTAACATCATTTGTAGGAGTCCTCTGGCTTACATCCCCCCCGCCCTCATATTGAGTATCTGCATATGATGAAGTTTTATCTAGCTGGGGCATGCTGTACAGTTCCATGCAGATTTTACTAATCTGAAAATAAAAAAAGTAATAGCAAGTCAAATTATATGTTTATAAGCATTAATCATTGAAGTCTATGCCAGTAACTTCACTTCCAAAACAACTTCCATACATACATTCTCTCAACCAAAAAAATAATTGCCAAGTGTAAAGCCTTAATTACATACGTTATAAATATTGTATTATGAATTATCCATTCTTGGGCTTGTAACTCTTTACTCATTCATTAGCCTCTTATATGAAAACAAAGGCAATTTAATGAAGAAATTAGACATCATCCCTAAAACTACAAGCAATAAATTTCAACATTAGCAAACTATATCCATTCACCTAAAGCCAAACATTAATTTCATGGTATAAGTTAACGCAAGTTCCCAAATGCACCGATGCACTAGAAATAAACAAGAGGACTTACCTTGCATGATGGAGGTTGAAAACAATCTGCACAATAACGAAGTCATATTTCAAGGTTTCATATCATTCCCTAATGAAGTTTACATTGCGTGCTATTCAGACAACTCGCAACAAAACGGAGCAAAAACAAGTAGCAATAATCACTGTAACTTTTTTCAAATATAAGCTAGTAATGCCATGTCAATGCCTATTACAACGATCCCACATTAGAGTACGTATGTCCTATATATCACGACTCTTTTTCCTGGAGGACCACACACTAATTTCAGAGCACTCTGAAACAGTAAAACCACATCTAACACACAATTATTTTCATTAATAACGATCACACCAAAATTACTAAACTGACGCTTAGTATTTACATTCACAATCATAACTGATGGCTGTAAACTTCCGGTAGGAGCTTTCTTTCCAGCAGCACACAATTATACAAACATCCTTGGCCTCTTGAGATACCACCAGATGTTCAAGGACTGCAATAACTACAAACGACGAAGAGTGATGTGTAAAAGAACAATCTAATCCACTTCAAGTTTGTCTGATTTCCGAACCATTTTCACTGTAAACACAAAGCCAAACAAAATGGCGATGAACGATAAATGAATAAATGTACATGGAGTTTGAGCGCCACTAACACTTCACATTTCACATCAATGGACGCTAAATACGTTTGTTTCTACTATATGTCACTGTCATTTTGATGCAATTCTTCCCTAGCGGTCAATTTGATAATATGGTTATAAACAAGATCATTGACCGATCATAATACAATAGGCACGGACAGTGCAGACAGTTGATGACGGGTGGCCATGATTATTACCAACAGCCGTTGAGGACAAATCAAGGGATTCTCTCTTATTACAATGGAATCAAAATTTATTACAGACGAAAGAAAAAGTGAGTTCATTCACTTCTAGGTCGATGTGGGCATTTTCCAAGTAGTAATAAAAATTATCACCCAGCCCCTAAGGCAAATTTAAAAACGTTTTTCGGAATTGTATACTGAGACTAGTGTATCATAGGAGTATCTACGTTGGATTATATTGAGTAAATTATTTTGTCGGCAAAAACTTTTTTGAATTATGATTTATTTCCGAAAATCGCTCAAGTTTAAATCAATTGGAAGAAAAAAGAGTTTTAAAACTAACGCATATTCCTATTATAAGTGCCATTACATTTCAAGCATTCGTTCCTTGTCATTGGGACATCTCAGTAACATTTTTATAACAAGGCATTTTCGTCGCGTCAAGGTTTAAATAAAAGTAATGGAGGAGAATGTAATACATTAGGATTTATTTAACCATGCATTTGAAGTAAATCATATGTACACGGTCTCATCCAATCGGGTGTTTAAACGTCCACATAGTGACGTCACTGTAGCGATATTTAAGCTTCTGATTAGGTGAAAGCGCAAGAGCTGATTACATCAAGTACACAACAAAATAAATCGTACTATAGGATGTAAAATTCTTGCTCTTTAAGAATATGGGCAAGAGAATGCGCCAGGGTCGTTCCGTGTGGCGGCATCTATTTAAAGGTGCGTTCTTTAGAAACGATACTTCGGTGGGGACGTAAGGTAGCAGTGCAAGTTAACGAGACGTCTACTATTGATTTCATCCACGAAAGCAACTCTACTAGAGGATGCCCAGAACAACCTAAGTATTTATTATGCCATTTATTCTGGGATCGTAAATACAAGAATATAATGTTTGTGAAAATTGAGTTCTACTCCAATATACGTATTCAGTAGCGCAGCTCACCCCGTTTTTGGTTATACTTCGAATTATTTGGGTAGCATCTAGAGGTCAAGCACGCGAATGGAAGAGGAAAGGCAGACTCCAAAAGGGAGTTGCCTTTCCTCTCCCTTTTTCGTGCCGCACCTCCAATAGAAAAGTGACACAAGTACGAAATCGTTATGTTCAGCTAAAAGCTGATAAGAGGTTACCAAGAGGTACTGCCACTATTCTGAAGTTGATTTTGAATTAGTTCAATTACTGTCGCTAGAAGGTGAATATTTGATGAAATCTATAACGAGTATTACAGAACTACGAAACTTAAAATTGAAATTTCTGAGAAATCATAAATTCGCACTTGTGTCACTTTTCTATTGAAGGTGCGGTGCGTGACCTTAAAACGCCACCTTAAAAAAACGAAGTGTGCATAAAGCTAGCGATCCCTGTGAAAACCAAGTAATCTACGGATAACTTCTTCTGAAGTATATGGATTTGCTTGTGAAATTGCGTTTATTAGAGCAGGTTTAAAATGTAAAAGATTATTCCTGATATTTCTTGACCTAGTGATTTTATGCCCCTAGGATTTCAAGGTTAAATCAATTCATGTCAGGTAAAATTACATCGAACCAACGTTTTAACGTTACATTTACAATGTATCGGAACATATTTGATATGCACCAACTTTTTCAGTTAACACATTAGTGACAATGTGTGTGTGTCGAAAAGAGCACACTGTTCTGCAATTAAGTACAGCAAGAGCATACGAAAAAACCGTAAGTTATGTTGTTTTTTTACTTGCCCAACAGATCTAGAAATGCAAGACGGACATTTATTAATTGCAAAGTTCACGTCTAGGCAACGATAGATTAGGAAGGTTGAAAGAATCTTTTTCTTGGTATTTTGGAAAGAACGGGCCGTGATTATGTACATTTGTAATGACGGCAAACCTATAGTGACATATGAACATTGTATTCAGCTACCCCCAACATGTAAATAACATACCATGCTTGTTGCGAAAAGTTAGTGACAAATTTTGTATAAAAGCAAAAAATATAGTTATTAAGCTTTGAACACCATTATTTATTTGCCTATTCATTTATGAATTATTGGTATTTCTCAAAACTGACTTACTCAGGGATATTTTCTCGCAATCCAGATCTCTTCTTCTTGACTTCTTTAGCTGTCCGGATTCTATTCTTCAAACTATAAAAGAGGATTCTCTTTTGATTCTTGCAATGAAAACATATACGAGAGTTGGGGCATGAGTCATGGCAACTTTTTTGTATTCCAGCATTATAAAAGAACCTTTTCTACTGCAAGAAATCGATCATAATCGAACATTTTACGGCACAAATGATGACGTATTAGATTTATGTCACGAATGATTGCGTCATCACACATTCAGCCAATCGTAGCGAGAGAATCGGGGGGGGGGGTAGAGCTAAACGGAACAGCCGACCACCGTTTACTCGCACGATGTCAAATACCCGAGTCGTCACAGGGAAGTTGCTTCATAAAATTAAGTTTGATTCTCTTATAAATGAATAATGCTGTTATACAAAACAATAGTTATGCAACTCGTTTATTATGTTGCTCTATTACATTCGTACAAATTTGAAAACTCGCTCCTAAAGTAGCTCGGTTTCAAAACATGTACTCATGCAATAAAACTTAACATTATAAACTAATTGCATAAACTACTATTTTATGAGGGTACGATCACGGGTGGAAAATGTGTAATATACATATGAAAGGGCAAGGTATGAACTATGAGCATATACTATAAACGACACACCAAAATTATGTGTCTCGTATGTATTAAGATATTTGAAATGACTATTGATTTTATGTGATTTTAACGTATATGGCCTCACAGCATTCCTGAAGCATTGCACACCCGTTCTAAAGGCCCGCTTATGCATATGCTCCATTACCGCACGTGCCACATCTGTCCGCACAGTCGCAGGACGTCGCGTGCGTTGCCGACAGAGGTTGGTGGCGTGGCTGCCGATCACTAGTTGCTAGGCGCCCTCGCAGAATCTCTCCTGCCCATCTCGCGACTGTCCGGTACGGAAGGGCATTATTCCCAACAGCTTCTACCGATTCCGTGTGGTAATCTCAGGCATCTGAGAATGGCTATCTTGGTGTATAAGCGCTGCTCGAAACGGGTTACATACATCTCGCACGCCGACAGTCAGACAACTGATTCTACATTCCACTATGCCTCAACTATATTCCAACAACCGCTTTCATATCCCCAAACTCCCACCACCCCCAACACCGACGGAAAATCCTTCAAACTCACCTTATCCCAAAATATGCAAATCCCACCCAACACTCAAACAATGCCTGAAATCGATGTCCCAAGAACACCTTAGCCACCAAATTCTCCATGTCTACGACAGAACAACTACACACATAAAGAACCTCCTCCCAACCCCCCTCAAAGACATAACGCAGACTATTAGACTAAAATGACAAATACAAAGAAAATACTATAAATAGAGCGTGACGAAGACATATCACTACTACAGCAACAAAAAAAAGAGTACAGAGTACGCTACGATCCTTCGAAGCAAATACGACATTCTAAAAGACAAACGCATCCCCAACCAACTTCATAAAGTAGTTCAATATGAAACACCCCTTCCCGTATCTCCACTCTTCTCACTTACCCCAACACCTTCACCAATGACCCTAAAATTATAGCAAACACCTTTGAACAAACCCTAGTCGACCGCTAACTTTCCCGTGACACACCGATCCTTGACAATGTCTCCACTTACCTCAGAACCCCAGCCCTACCACCCCATCACGACCTGGACGACGAACGACGTAGAAATTCAACTCCTGACAAAGACTAAATCCCCCGGACCCGATGGAGTTCTTCTCATCCAACTCCGTAACCTCCTTAAGAACGCCAGAGTCCTCTTCACCCTTACCCTAAATTTCGAACTACTCTACTTCCCAGCCATCTGGAAATCCGCCCGAGTGTCCATTGTCCCCAAACCCAGCTAGGATCATCGACATTCCTCAAACTACAGACCCATTAGCCTCCTCCCCATCCTGATCAGAATCTTCGAAAAAATATTTTTCCTCCGCCTAATCCCAATCATTGACGCTATGCTTAACACATACCAATTCGGATTCGGTGAGGGACGCTCTGCGTCCCTCCAAACCCTTAACCTTTTCCTGTCAATATCCACCCCCCTACGAGACTAAAAAGGAATCCCTGCCATCCTTACCGACATAACACAAGCGAATGACCGTCTCAACCCAATCCTATTTATGAAAATTTGTCCTACTCTCTAATCCACTTCTACGTCTACTACGTCCCGTATCCACTCTCTAATTGAAAGTTACCTAACCCATCGATTTTTTAATGTCCGTTATCAATTCAAAGAATACCCAATCACCCCAACCAAGCCCGCGTCCCACTAGGCACCGTGCTCTTCCCTCTCTCATTCTCATTGAACATCAATGTTATCCCTTCCACCCTCAAGCAGAGAGATTCCTATACGCGGACGACCTTGCCTTCCTTGCTTCCTACAGTAAATTATCCCGATCCCTAATAATCTCCAAACCCTCCTCGATTCCTTCTACCTCTGGGCATCCCAAAATTCAATTACAATTAACCCATCCAAATCCCAAGCCATCCTATTCTCATACATATCCTATCCATTAAACCCACCTCCCCTGACAATAAACAACACCCCCGTCCCCTGGTAGTCCCTCATAAAATACCTTTTGCCGAAGACTCCTTAAGACGTATCACAACCTGAACACCATCTCACTAATCAACGCTCTCTACCCTATCTTCACAAATCCTAGCCTACCCAAATTCCAATTCCCCAAAAAATCATAGCCTACAATACCTACATATGCCCCATCCTTCACCACTTCAAAAAGAAACCGCAAAAAAGTAAGCACCACTGAAAATTGAGTTTTCAGATTCATCTAGCTACAATTATCACCGCAAAGCCCACAACATGCCTCATATCCTTTCCTACTTCTACAACTCCGCAGTTACCCAAATCCAGCAATTCATTAATAACCCTAAATTCTAAAACTTCATTCTACCTTATCATCACAT